TCACTTTGGTTCTTTCGCCGCGAGGTGGATTTCCACACAGCTCTCTCATTGACATGCTAATTTCTCTGCTCCAGCAGACCCACCTCTCTCTCTGCCCTGCCCCCCCCCCTCTCTATTTAAGGCCTCGGCAGAGGCGTTGGGTCTGTGTGTCTATGTTGTGTGTCTCTCTCTGTGTCTCTGTCTTGTCTCTCTCTGCTTGTGTGTCTGTCTGTGTGTCTATGTTGTGTCTCTCTCTCTGTGTCTCTGTGTTGTCTCTCTCTGCTTGTGTGTCTGTGTGTCTAAGTTATGTCTCTCTCTGTGTGTCTCTGTCTTGTCTCTCTCTGCTTGTGTGTCTGTCTGTGTGTCTATGTTGTGTGTCTCTCTCTGTGTGTCTCTGTGTTGTCTCTCTCTCTGCTTGTGTGTCTCTGTGTGTCTCTGTTGTGTGTCTCTCTGTGTGTGTCTCTGTGCTGTCTCTCTCTACTTGTGTGTCTGTCTGTGTGTCTATGTTGTGTGTCTCTCTCTGTGTTGTCTCTCTCTGCTTGTGTGTCTGTCTGTGTGTCTATGTTATGTGTCTTTCTCTGTGTGTCTCTGTGTTGTCTCTCTCTGCTTGTGTGTCTGTCTGTGAGTCTATGTTATGTGTCTCTCTCTGTGTGTCTCTGTGTTGTCTCTCTCTGCTTGTGTATCTGTGTGTCTCTGTGTGTCTCTGTGTTATCTCTCTGCTTGTGTGTGTGTCTGTGTGTCTGTGTTGTTTGTCTCTCTGTGTGTCTGTGTTGTCTCTCTCTGCTTGTGCCTGTCTGTGTGTCTATGTTATGTGTCTCTGTGTGTCGTCTCTGTGTTGTCTCTCTCTGCTTGTGTGTCTGTATGTGTGTCTATGTTATGCGTCTCTCTCTGTGTGTCTCTGTCTTGTCTCTCTCTGCTTGTGTGTCTGTCTGCGTGTCTATGTTATGTGTCTCTCTCTGTGTGTCTCTGTGTTGTCTCTCTCTGCTTGTGTGTCTGTCTGTGTGTTTCTGTGTTATCTCTCTCTGCTTGTGTGTGTGTCTGTGTGTCTGTGTTGTGCGTCTCTCTCTGCTTGTGTGTCTGTCTGTGTGTCTATGTTATGTGTCTCTCTCTCTCTGTGTCTCTGTGTTGTCTCTCTCTGCTTGCGTGTCTGTCTGTGTGTCTCTGTGTTATGTCTCTCTGCTTGTGTGTGTGTGTCTGTGTGTCTGTGTTGTGTGTCTCTCTCTGTGTGTCTCTGTGTTGTCTCTCTCTGCTTGTGTCTGTCTGTGTGTCTATGTTGTGTGTCTCTCTGTCTCTCTCTGCTCTCTGTGTCTCTCTCTGCTTGTGTGTCTGTCTGTGTGTCTCTGTGTTGTCTCTCTCTGCTTGTGTGTCTGTCTGTGTGTCTCTGTGTTGTCTCTCTCTCTGCTTGTGTGTCTGTCTGTGTGTCTATGTTATGCGTCTCTCTCTGTGTGTCTCTGTCTTGTCTCTCTCTGCTTGTGTGTCTGTCTGTGTGTCTATGTTGTGTGTCTCTCTCTGTGTCTCTGTGTTGTCTCTCTCTGCTTGTGTCTCTCTGTGTGTCTATGTTATGTGTCTCTGTGTTGTCTCTCTATGCTTGTGTGTCTGTCTGTGTGTCTATGCTATGTGTCTCTCTCTGTGTGTCTCTGTCTTGTCTCTCTCTGCTTGTGTGTCTGTCTGTGTGTCTATGTTGTGTGTCTCTCTCTGTGTGTCTCTGTGTTGTCTCTCTCTGCTTGTGTGTCTGTCTGTGTGTCTATGTTGTGTGTCTCTCTCTATGTGTCTCTGTGTGTCTCTGTGTGTGTCTCTCTGTGTGTCTCTGTGTGTGTCTCTCTCTGCTTGTGTGTCTGTGTGCCTATGTTATGTGTCTCTCTCTGCTTGTGTGTCTGTCTGTGTTTTGTCTCTCTCTCAAATTGAGCAATCTTTCAAAGAACGTAATCAACCAGGTAAGGTGCTGACTGTTGTGTTAGCCGACTCTCTGTGTTGGATTACATTGTATTTATAAGTTCACTAGGTTTGTTTTCTACCTGATCACGATTGCTTGTGTTGCAATGGAAACGTTGTATTCCACTATTTAAATTATTTTCTTTCTACGTGACTTTACCGAAAAAACCAAAGAGTAATTCCTGCAGTCACGAAAGCTTCAAATCAAGATCGTATTCACTTTCAAATTGGGCCAAATATCGGCTATTATAATTCACCTTAACATACATTTAAAATAAACTTAAAAATCTTTTTTTTTACGTTCAGCTTGCAACCTGAACGAACATTGCGCGGTCAAATCCTGGCAGAGGGTCAACTCAGCTTAGCATCCATTCAGGAACATCGCAATGAGTACCACTCCGTGGTACCAATCTGTGGTACTCAGCCAACAGTTGTCATCCTATGGATAGAATGGCCCCTGCAATAGGCATGTGTCATTTACAGCACCAGCTTGATGTTGCCGATGGCAATGAGCGCTGCCAAACTGCTCGTTTCAAACGTACACTTTGGTACTTTCAACTGATTAGGTTGGTGGCTACACCAGGTTTCTATACACCCTGCAATAATGAGACTGAGCGAATTCTAAAATCAGCCTAATGGCCCATTGAGGAAGTACAGGTTATTCCATTTCAATGGAGAAGTAAAACTCCTAGCCTGTAGATTTCAGCATGCCAGGAATAATTGGGTGTCTCTCCCATCAGACTATGCACGACTTTAATGCCATTTCACTGTGGTGTTCTTATTTGACAAGGAAATGTTTTACGCAATGGCGGCTTGCTGGCGTCACATGGATCTAGCGGAGAGAGTAAATCCATAGCACATATCCTGAATTGTCCCTTTGTCCGGAATTCCACTGCCTCTGTGAATGGGACCAAAAATAGATGTTCTTGACCGGCCCCGCTGCGACTCGAGTTAGTAATTGCGAGGGTCACAGTGAGCCACTTGTTGCTTTGATGAATGGAGTTTATTGTGATGAATGCTTTTATCTCGATAAGGTCCATTTCATAAAAGGCTCATTTCATTCACTTGGGGGTGAGGCACGCTGAACATGCGCACGCGCGCATGCGCGTGTAGGTCTGAGCATGTTCAAGAGAAGTGTTCACTCCAAGAGGTGGCTGGGTGGCTCATTAAGAAATTGAGGCTATCGCCCCCACTCCATACCACTGAGCCAGCAGCAGCAAGGTCCTGGATTAAAATTCTGTGCTCCCACAGTCTTAAGATGTAACCTGGTTCCTGTGCACGTCGAGAAGGTATTAGCCCAGTTAACAATTAGTACATGAATAGAAACCACAATAAATATAACCAGATATTATTAAATGTGTGAATATGTATTTGTTGATTTTCCTAATCTTAAGTCATTGACCCTATTGTATAAGACAAAAGAAGATAATATTCTTGGCACAGTACATAAAACACAGAAATATCTGGTACAAAGATGTATTAACGAAGCTAATAACAGAAGGTGTGTACAGGATTAATTGCACGTGTGTAAAATTTTATGTTGGGCAAACAGGACTAATGATAAGCAAGAGACTAAAAGAACATCAGAGAAATATTAAATTCTCCCAAATACAACTGTCAGCAGCAGCAGCAGAACACGTGTGCCAACAAGGACACTCAATTGATTTTGATAATGTTGAAGTTCTGTGCAAAACTAGCTACTACTGGCCAATACTAATTAGAGAATCTATCTAAATTGAAAGAAATAAAAATAATTTTAACCGTTCAGATAGCTACCGCCCTAGTGCTGCGTAAAAGCAAATAATCAAATAATACATTATTTAAATGCATGCCTATAAAGGGCAGCATACTTCAATAGGGATTACCGTTGGTAGGGCTATTTTAATACACACAATAGACAGGAAGGACAAGTTCAAAGGGCTCGCATAATGCACATGCATAATGTACGTTGACTCAGTAATCCCCGCCCCCCCACTTTGCGCAAGAGCGCAGAAGCGTGGTCACCACATCTACGCCTCTATATAATCTGGCTGTCGCCTGATGAAGCTAGTAGTAATTACTGACGAAACGTCGTACTCAGATTGTAAATGTTGTGGCTTGGCTCTCCAACACACCGGTGTGCTGTACTAGTGACGAATTGGCCACGTTCTGTTTACGTGACAACCCTTACTAGTTGGCTGTGTCGGGTGGTGGCGGGTTTCAACGACACATTTATATATTTACGCGATCTAACCCAAAAAAATTATGAATGTTAAATGTATTCACCTGGGTGCCACTGTGGTGACAGGGCTTGCAGTGCTCTCCTCACGATCTGCTTTAGTTCAAATCCCAGCCCATCATCCCAACGGGGCACAGAAAATAACAATCACTATGTGAGAGGTCACCAGTGAAATGGGTTTTTGCCCTGGGAATGTGGAATTTCCCCACCAACGGATCACAATGCTGTCTCAAAAAACTCTGATCACAATTTTTGGGCAGCAGCTGAATAAGCCTCACGGGGAAACACGCTGATCACAGTCACTTCAATCATTCTCTTGGCTTTGATTGTTAAGCCTTAAAAACCTTTCCCAAGAAATGTCACAGTTCAGTCCCACACAATTCTACGTGCCCCTCCCCCGGTGCTCCATCAACCTTTTGCCGAGTCACACTCCTCCCCTTCCTATTCCTTATTTGCCGAAGGAAACACCTGAGCTTGACTTTGAATAAATTATGGCGTGCGAGTGGATGGGCGTAGGTGGGTGGTGGGTATGTGCATGTGTGTGTAGAGATAGTTTAGTGGTTTGCGCACTGCGCTAAAAACCTGACGACCCGAGTTAGATTCCCACTCATGTCCAACACCAGTTTACGAAAATATGAACCAGTCGTTGGCCTGCTCTAGGTCAACTCAGCCTTAAATGAGTACCTAGTATGATGTGTAAACATTGCCATTGGGGAGACAAAGGTGGCCGGGCGTGGTGCTGGCCACCAACCCCGTCGTGTCCCGTGCCAGTCCGCAATAGGGTGCTCGCTAACAGCACTTGCCCCAACAGTCTGTTAAAAGCCACATGGGGGATCTATACCGGTGTATCCGCGTGCGTGCGTGCGTGCACCTGGGCCATTGAACTCCATGCTGTAGACGATGTCGTCCTCCTCGTCCTCGTAGTATTCGTTGTCTTCCTCGTCGCCGTGGTAACCGTGCAGGTCCTCCAGGTAGGGCATCACAGTCATGCTCCGCCAGCGATCCGGGACGCTGGCGCTTGGCGGGATCGGCACGCTCACCTCCAGGCGCGCTGGCTTTTTGCGGAACCAGCTGTGAAGGAATTGACCAAAAAACCAAATCAACCCCCAGAGCTGCGATCGGAGCCGGGGCAAGCGCGGGACCGTGGGCGAGGATGCGAGGGTGAGCACTGCACGGCGAACAAAGCTCGGGAACGGAGTCAGTTGCACCAGAGGGAATTGTCGCAACTTGATCGTCGAATCCAAGTAGGGCCTTCAAAGAGGCTTTCCTGAACAAAGTAAGGACATTACTACATTGCCGAAGTGCTCTCGTCCATTAAACACTAATGGAAGAATAATTATTGGCCCACGACACAGAAATATGTAATGTCCACAAGCGGTTGACAGCTGTCCATGAAGAAAAGCACCGCCCCCCATTGCTCGTTTATGCAGACAGGCATTGTGATGCAATGGGAGTATATCAGTTTCATAAATTAAAGATGGCACGCCACAATGGCGAGCTATTAACTACCTTGTCTGGTATACAGGAGGTCGTGGATTCGATCCCGACCCTGACGCCTTTATATTTGGAGATTGCATGTTCTCCACGTGGTCGTGTGGATTTTTCTCTGGGTCCTCCGGTTTTTTCCTCCACATTTAGATCAACACGTGATGAACCACTTCATTGGGCTGAGAGAGAGCTATATAAGCTCATTGGGCCTTACATGGTCAAATAAAATTAGTTTATATTTGTAAGTTTTAGATGTATCATAATTTTATAATCCATTGGGTATGTGCATATAATGCAGTGGATTAATCATGACCGATGATGAGGACCCATATAAATAAAAGTCCACCTTCTGTGCACGGATGACACAAACGTTTGCTGATGACCCCCGAAGCCAGCAACACAAATGTCCCACTCGTGTAGCCGAGGGACCCTCTATTGACGTCTCAGGAAGTTAGACTCACGCTATTGATCACGGAGGGATGAAGAATTGAGTTGACCCCCGGCTGGCACCTGTTATTCACAACCCTCCTAATTGCGAGGAGAGAGCTCTAAAAACAGCATGACGTGGCTGTCTAAAGCCCACTTATAATCACTTCTTAAAATACACCAGTCCGCACCTAGCTCTCCACCTCTCTTGTAGTGAATGGCCCACAGACAGTATTACAGACATCCCAATCACACGACAAAATCATAGGAAAAAAACAAATACGAGCAGAACTCCAGTTCTATATTTCTGCATATAAAATAAAACTACTTTATAGGTCATGAGCCATTGGCCTTTCCAGACCAATATTATTCAGCAGCATTCATTTACGCCAGCAAACCACTGACTAGTTTCAACCTTCTGGGTCCCATCAGCAGTCACGTTTTAAACAAAATGCAGCTACTTGCTGCTGTGTTACCAGATGTTATTGGCAATAGCACTCCATCTAAACTACAGAGCCTCATAAAACGCATAAAGCAATATTGTATAGATTTGTTATGCTTTGTTGTGGAGCATTATGGTTACAAAAAAACGAGATTGCTCATTGAAGTGAGTGGCCAAACAGAAGCCACGGAAAGCGAAACAATGAGAATGGTGGGCTCAATAACAGAGCCCCACATAAGAGCTCACAGCTACAATGAGGACCCAATTCAACAGTACGGCCATTCGCGGGAAAACAACCAATCGGCCAAAAATAACAGTGATTTTGACACTTTTTTTTATAAAATATCATACATTCTATCCCAAAACTCACGGATTAAGGCCATTACACCGTTGTGCCTTTGCTGTGGAGTTGGGCTCTTACGGTGGTAAAAGTATGATGCGCACATCACCAGGTACATTGTTTAATAATATGAATGCAATCACATTGAGACCAGTGTTAGTGCAATTACAAAGTACTCACTTTCAAAAATGTTGGTTGTGGATAACCTAACAATTTTGGATTGGGACCAAGCATTAACATCCTGTACTTGTAAATTATGATGCCGTGAAGGTGGATAACATTTGCTCCGTGCTGTATTTCACACACAGCTGTAGTGGGAACTGAAATTTCAGCCCGATGTAAGCAGGACTGGTGGTTAAGACAAGACGACTGGTTCAGCAAGTCTCCTGGGTCTGAGTTCACACTTCTGTGCCTTACAAAAGTTTTTTGTTTAGTTTGTTGTCCTTCCCCGGCACCTCCGATTAGCACGGTTGACTACGTAAAACGTTCGACATGTGGCTACTAAAGTTCATAACGCCTGTCTTGAACATGGAATCAACACCGCTGAAGACCTTGGGTTCGATTACAGAGTGCACCCGTGGCTCAACCGAGTTCTCAAGAGTGCCGAGTTGATGTTTCGCAGCCAAATTACCAATGACAGAACAAACATCCTCATTAAAATATATTTTGGGATTTCATCTGCTCACACTAAGTCGATGTATTGGCTTGAAGTTAACCACTCATCACAGAGCAAGCGCATCTGTTTAGTGTGGATCTAAGAGGACTCTTACAGCGACCTGGGAGTATTTTTTTGGCATCATCTTTCTTCTCTCATGTTTATTATTTCACCTTTCTACTCTGGTGACATCTCGTGGCACAAATTGGATGTAACGGGTGCTCAGATACAATGCATATGCAGAGAAATGGGTAAATTGTGTTGAGAAAAAACAAATTAACATCCATGCAATTTTTCGGGCCATTATCCAAATGCCACTGGGGAATACATGCAGCAAATCATGTGAGGCCGTTTGATATCATATGACTGTAGGTAGCAGACTGAGGGCATATGTATGTAAATATTCATATTCTGTATGCATGTTGACCTTCTTTCACACTGTACATAGCCAACCATGCTAATCTGTTCAGGGCTATCAGAAAATGCAACCAAACAAAGAATTGGGACCTCTTTCCCACCATTATCCAAGAAAATCGATCCATGGAAAATCTAATTCTGTGTATATGAAACCTGCTGATCCCGTCTGAAATCCCAGCCGAGAGCTACAGAAAAGTGCATCCACCATGAGCGTCTTCAAATTCCTCGCTGTGCGTTGGGCTTCAAAGACAAACTCATTCTAACTCATGGATTATAATTCTCACTTCCTGGATATTGTCCTAATGACATGAGATGCAGTTTCAAGTGAAACATTGTACCTAGATGCAAAATTTATCTGTGAAAATTGTTCTTCGAGCTACCAGTGAGTTGAAACTATAATGATTTGCGTGTTAAACACTTGTCACATGCGATAATTTAATTTACTTGAATGCATTGGGTGGCCAGATCGTGACGTGGTCTAACCCAAATATCAATAATGAATTATTAGAATGGCTGCGTAAACCCAGGTGCTAACCCTTTCCCATTCCGATACGTCTGCAAGTTGCAGGGTGAGTTCCATTCACCGCTGAATCTCGGAACGCGCAAGTGGCTCTGCATTCATTTTATTTAGAGAAGCGTAGTGTCGGTGTTTTTAATTACATTGTACTTATATTCTTGGTTCTTTCGGTAAAGTCACGTAGAAGGGAAACAATAAAATAATAAAAAATAAAACAATAAAATTATCATGACGTTTCGATTGCAACACAAGCAATCATCATCAGGTGTGAAAACCACAGCAAGAAAAAAGAGACCTGATGGTTCAATGAGCCACTCTGTCTACAGGAAAGCTACCCATACGGATGCTTACCTGAAACCGGATTCCCACCACCATCCATCCCAGAAGAATTCCCTCATCAAGACTCTGCACCATAGAGCCCAATGCATATCCGACCAGGAACACAAAGCCAGTGAACTCAAGCACGTACACCAAGCTCTTAAGGCTAATGGTTACTCCGACTACACAATCCGCAAAGCTATCACTCCAGCCATGAAGAAGGATCCTCTTGAGGAGCCTTTCAAAAGCATCACTTTACCCTACATTGCGGGGATCACAAAAAAGATCTCCAAAATCTTGAAAAAACACCACAAGATCCAGGTCCGATTCAACACGTTACATAAAATCCGTGATCTGGTTCCGTCTGTAAAAGATGTGATTCCGGACATACAGTACCCTGGCGTCTACAAACTAAGTTGCCTCTGTGTGGTAGTAGTTACATTGGAGAAACCAAACGACATGTCTCGGACCGCATTCGTGAACACAAAGCAGACCTAAAACACGGTAGGACCAACACCTCGGCCGTGGCAGATCACTGTTATAATTCAGTAGGCTCACATGACATTGACTTCTCCAAGAAAGAGGTTCTTTGCAAGCCATCTGGCTACCATGAGAGATTCGTTCATGAGGCTATCCACATATACAAACACAGACAATTTCAACCGCGAAGATGGATTCTATCTTAGCAATCATTGGAAGGATTTGATAAACCATTTCGGGTCTTAATTGATTGTTCACACTTACGGTGGCTTTCAGACGGCATCCATTATTTTCATCTCCCCCCTCCTCTTTTCTGAACATAGATGGACTCGTCCATCTGAACAAACTGTCAAATCGCTCTCCGTGGTGCTAACGTTAAAAAAACGCCACTTTTTTCAAATTTTCTTGCTGTGGTTTTCACACCTGATGATGATTGCTTGTAAATTTCGATTTAAAGCTTTCGTGACTGCAATGATTCATCTTCTTTGGTTCTTTCGGTAAAGTCACGTAGAATGAGAATAAAATAATAAATTGATAAAATAAATTATTTTTGTGTTATTTTATTTTATCAATTTATTATTTTATTCTCATTCTACTTGACTTTACCGAAAGAACCAAAGAAGATGATTGTTTGTGTTGCAGTCGAAACGTCGTGAGAATTTTATTGTTTTATATTTTTATTATTTTATTGTTTCCCTTCTACGTGACTTTGCCGAAAGAACCAAGAATATGAATCCCTGCAGTCACAAAAGCTTTAAATCAAAATTTTACATTGTACTAATAGCAGAGAACTGAACCGACACGACTGCACTCTACGATAGCTGACGCCAAACTGTGCCACACTCCCCAATGGCCTTGTGGGAGCCTCGGTACCGATAAAGTTATTTTATTTCAATTTTTCTTACGGTTTCCTTTTCATGATGTACATGTACGTCATCGGCAACAGCATCGGAAGAAAAACTGATGACGTACCGGAACGGGAAAGGGT